TATATAGAGAGAGTTTTTCGCACTTTTTTTTTGAAATGTTTTTTGCTGTAATTTCAATTAGTATTTATATTTTTGGAATTTATTTAATCTTATTTTTAAGTAATTGTAACGCAATTCAGTCTACGGACTGCCATGTTCGATATTTTAATAAACTATCTATCTAATAATAATAATAACAATAATAACAATAATAATGATAATAATAATAAAGAACGAGCACTACGCGCTGCGTACTGTGACAACAAATCGACTTACGAGGAACTCTTGCATAGAACGAAACTACCTACACTTTATACGCGGCGACTGCAAGCCACTGCAATCATAATGTACAAAGTCAAAAATGGCCTGGTGCCTCCCTAAATTGCGGACTTATTAGTCAGGAGGCAGCTCGCCAAAAACTGATTTTCGCTAAACATTTTGAGTAGAAGCAGGCAACATAGCTTAAAATCTTCGTCTTGCCATCCTGATTAAGAAATGTGCTGTTGCCCACTGCAAATGTTATGATATCTGTCATTAAGCGGGTTTTTTGTCTAGGCCCTCGCTCCTGCAGCATGAAAAAGAGGCTAAACTGTAACATTTATATAAACCCAATAAAAAGTGCACAATACGATGGGGAAATAGCTGAATCTTTGCTACTTGACGTTTAGAGCTCGATACACAGTAGTGTGAGAGATAAGATGCGTCACGTGATCAGCTATGAATAGTCACGTGACTTTCCAATAAAATCGATTTTAAACAGGAGCCCATCTAATGGAGCCTCCATCTTCATTAATTTCTTGAGTCAACCCTTTCCCGAGTATATTTATAAATAGAACAGCTTGTTTCCCGCGAAAAGTTTCATATTTCCGTGAGTCTCGTATATCACCGTGAAAAAAATGAAGTTGGATGAAGTCGAACTCAGAAGCCCGTCCTTTGACCGTTTTCTTTTTTTACTATAAGATATAGGAGAGCTCGTATTAGATTATAAAGAGGCAGATACTAGAATAGTACTGCATGCCCGAGACGCAGCAGCAAGAGGGTACAAGCAAGTCAGCATTTTGTGTCGTCATACGGACGTTCTTGTCCTCCTTTTGGCACACCGAGAACAGCTTTGTCAGGAGATATGGATGTTTGCGGGTACATCAAGAGAAAGGCGTTACATACCAGTTCACAGAATCCCGCTCTCTGGCATTTCATGCCATTACTGGCTGTGATACGACAAGCCAGTTCTATGGTGTGGGCAAAGCATCGGCATGGAAAGTCTTCGAAGATGCACCTGACCTCTTGGAACACCTTGGAGAAGAAAGCCAAATCAGTGCTGACGTTCTTGCCAAATCTGAAGCCTTTGTGTGCAAACTCTACAATCCGGGAACACAAGAGGTGGAAATCAACAAAGAAAGAGCAGCAGAGTTTCGCAAATCCAAGAAAGATCTCGACGCCCTACCTCCGACTCAAGATGCACTGATTCTCCACATAAAGCGAGCAAACTATCAGACCATGGTATGGAAAAAAGCGCTGGAACCATGTCCTTCTCTCCCAACAGCGGATGGTACTACAGTGAAGGCCTTCTGAAGCCAAAGTTAATGACGCGAGAAGAAGTGTCAGCGGCGTGTTTACAGTAAGCATACTGTGGGTGCTCCCGAGAAGGCGGATGCTGTGTAAACCGACGCTGCACTTGCGTCCAACTATCTCTTTGCTGTTCCAAGGCATGTAAATGTGGCGACAGGTGCAGAAACGACAGGAACACTGCAACCCTTTATCGTGTAGATTTATAATTAGAACGGTTCTCAGGGGAGACTTCGCGCGCCCACGGTGGGAAGAGCCAATCAAAACGAAGAAATGACACTGCCATTGTACTTCATCGAGCAGCAGGAAATTCGGGGCGCGATCCATTCACCCAAAATTCCAACCGGTCCGACCGGGAAAATTGGTCCACCTCAAAAGGTGGACCCGTTTTTTCGAAACTTTTCCGGTTGGACCGAACCGATCCATTGAGTTTTGGATCGAGATTTCCGGAAATTTTGGTTGAATGGATCACGCTCTCGGTGTTGACAGGCCAAACACAATCATAAGCTAGTGCAACGTGACTTTAGCGTTTTCATCCCGCAGAGATTTTCTTTCTTTTATTTCTAGCAGGTAGATTATACTGTGGAGAGTTTTAAGCTCTGACTATGCTAATCTTAATTTTGGTTGCTTGTGTCACATGAAGAGGCCATGAAGCTGGTCTGTTACATGCATAATGATTAACTACTACCTGCAGTCTGTAGTTCTGACAGGATTCGTTTTCTTTAGCCAGTTTGTTTGAGCGTTAAGGTTCTTATTTCGGCTAAATGACTCAATATTAATCAAATTTCTAGTTTTTCAAGTTTTTTTTTCCCGAAAGGCGTTTATCTGAATAAATACTTGTAGTCCTTGTGGTCGTTTTGTCCGTCAGCTAGTGTGATGATTCCCTGCGCTATGTTTTGTAACGCCGGGCCCAGCCATTGTTTTCTCGCAAAAAGGTGATCTACAGATGCGAATTCGAAGGAAAGCATTGAGGCGAAACGTCTACATTAACTGGTGAGAATTGTCCTGTTAGTCAGTCATAATTCTTTTGGCGCAGATACAATCCATTTTGTTTTTTCTTGAGATAATAAGGTGAGTCTTATGGACTGGAGCGCGATGTCACAAATTCCTACGCTAGCAAATTACTTTTGAGTTAGCTTCACGGTCGAGCAACTGTTGACTTCTGTTCAACTTTTCAAGTGCCAGTTTTATCAGGCAACTCTCATGGTGATACAAGTCAGTTGTAAAGGAAGACTGCAATTTCTCAAACTTCGGAACTGAAGCATTCCTATTTAGTTGCTACTTAGATCATCGTTTTTGCACGCAGTGCTTAACTGGCGAAATCCACTCCACGGTTACGACAAAAATCAAATGATCCTGGCACTTTTTCGGCGCTGATCATCGAAAAGTTCCAAATCGTCTACACAACGCTTCATCGTCGACTCTTTTCGAGGTGCATGCTTAAATGTGGGATGTATGACGGCAAAAAAAAGCACTCGCAAAGATAACCTTTCCGTGATCCTCAGTTCGCTGTCTTTGTCCCATCGCTTCATGCTCAGTCAGTCGGCTAATTCATTAACTTTTATTTCATGATACCCAGATCCCAGAAGCTGTAAAATTTTAGAAATGGACGTATAGCAAAAAAGGTAAACGGTCGTAGGAGGGGCTTCTGAGTTCGACTTCATCCAACTTCATTTTTTTCACGGTGATATACGAGACTCACAAAAATATGACACTTTTCGCGGGAAACAAGCCGTTCTATTTATAAATATACTCGGGAAAGGGTTGATTCAAGAAATTAATGAAGATGGAGGCTCCATTAGATGGGCTCCTGTTTAAAATCGATTTTATTGGAAAGTCACGTGACTATTCATAGCTGATCACGTGACGCATCTTATCTCTCACACTACTGTATATCGAGCTCTAAACGTCAAGTAGCAAAGATTCAGCTATTTCCCCATCGTATTGTGCACTTTTTATTGGGTTTATATAAATGTTACAGTTAGCCTCTTTTTCATGCTGCAGGAGCGAGGGCCTAGACAAAAAACCCGCTTAATGACAGATATCATAACATTTGCAGTGGGCAACAGCACATTTCTTAATCAGGATGGCAAGACGAAGATTTTAAGCTATGTTGCCTGCTTCTACTCAAAATGTTTAGCAAAATTCGTTTTTTGCGAGCTGCCTCCTGACTAATTCCAGTAAAGCGACGTCGACGCGCAATTCGCCCACTAAGTTCATTTGACATTCGAGATTGTGGGCCCAGCGTGCCAAAACATTTCAGGAAATCATATCATTTGCGAGAAAAAGAAATCGCTTTTAGTTATTCAGATCCAGGAGGCACTTTATAGAAAATTAAACAACCTAAAACCCTTATTTAGCCGCAATAAAGGGCGTTACGTTTGCATCAGAGGGCCAATCCTGCCGACCAGAAACAAACCCCACAGAAAATCAATTTGCGTGTCATTACCTCTCAGTCTGAAACAACCTTGTTAAATCAAAACTTAGAACCCTCCAGAGCATAATCTACCCGCCACGGCCTTTTCGCGAGGGAAACAGAATTTGATTCCTCTTCGGACAAATTATTGCTTATCCTACGCTTGCGAGCAGGAATGCTAACCTCAATTTCTTGAACTGATCAGGCTCATCTAAAATATTGATGCCGAAATCTAGACGCATGTAAATCTCACTCGTACAGGCCATGTTCAATATTCAACAGTTGCCATTACAACATTCTGAATTGTTTGTTTTGAGACAAGCGCGCGTGGACTTGATGACGTTCAAACAATCGATCAATGCGAGAGGACTTGCACGGTTCACGTCAAGCGAGTTGCGAGCGGTAACTCTCCTTAATATCATGACAAATAGTGAACAAAAATTGAGAAAAGCAAACAAAGAACTCAGGGACGAAGTAGCGGAGCTTAAAGTGAGGCTAGAAAAGGTTTTGAAAGAGTTCAGTGAACGAACTGAAGAATGCAAACTAAATGTCGGCAATGGCGGTGAAGTGCTGTCACCAGACAAAACCAAGTCAGTGGAGTTTGTTTCGGACCAGTATGATAATTTAATTGCTTTCAAAGTAAATGCCAGTAAAGAGTTTGAAGAAATTAGGGCAAGACTCGGTAAGATATCTGAGACCTGCGACCGCATCCAGAAATTGCTAGATGCTTTTGAACTGTACAGCTACCAATTCAACATCAAGATAGTCGGAAAGCCAATGGTTGTTGAACGTGAACACCCTGAGCAAACTGCAAATCTATGCCTACAGTTATTCTCAGCCTTTGGAGTAAAGGGAGTGTCGATCCAGGATTTTGATACGGCCCACCGAGTGCCGTCTATGCAGCCGTCAAATCGACCCAATGCAATCGTTTGTAAGTTTGCGCGAAGGCTAGCTAAAAGACCAAGTAATGGCGGCCAGGAAGATAGTTGGTGGCCACAAGGCCGAAGAACTTGGATTTGCAGCTGATATCAATGTCAAGTATCTTAATATCTATGATCACTTAAGCCACGGTTACAAGCATTATATCATGAAGCAAAGAAAGTCAAAGAGGCTACGACGTACAAATTTTGTTGGGCGAAAAATGGCCTTGTGTATCTTTGCTAGTCTAAAGAATCCACAATTTACAAATTCGCCGACCTTTCTGAGCTTAACAAGAAATTTAGCACGGCCTCAGAAGCTGGAGTGAACGATCATCTACAGAGCAAAGTACTCAAGTACTTTTTATATTCTATCATTACCAAGTAATCAAGTTTGACTATTGAAATGCCTACGAGGACCAGTGCTAAGCAACAACAGAAGTGAAATAAATCGCTGTTAAAATATTTACCGTACTTTAATTTCAGAGGTAACTTAGTCCTTGCCCATGGCCAATTTAATAATTCACTTAACAATGAGCTCCCGACTAAACGAGATCTAGATAAACTCCATAGTTTATATGATGTGGATTTGTTTAATTTGAATATGGCCTTTGATACCAAACAAACTGATAACGATGCTTTAATCGAAACCTGTAATTACAGTGGCGACTTCTTACTGGCTCTTCAAAGTTGTTGTCTCCTTCCAACTATTGACAAATCAACACGTGTTCACAAAAATTCTGCAAGCTTAATCGATAACATTTTTGTGAACAATTCTGAGCAGGTGCTTATCAGCAATAATCTCATTACTAATGTCAGCGATCATTTTTCGCAGTTTTTTATTTTGACATCAACAAAAGATAAAATTAAACGGAAGTAAATTAAAAAACGCGATCTTTCGCATTTCAATCCCGATAGTCTTAACAGCGACCTTGCTACGATCGACTGAAGTTACATCATTAAAACGCACGCAAATAATGTAGACGAGCTACTTTCAACTTTCTATAGAAATTTTAATAAAATTATAAATAAATATGCACCGATTTAAACCCTTTCTCAACGTAGGATTAAACAATTTTCTAAGCCTTGGATTACAAAAGGTATAAGAGCGTCAATCAAAGAAAAAAACAGACTGTACCAAATTGGCGATCAGGAAATATAAATATTATCGAAATAAAATTTGCAGTCTTACACGTTTGAGTAAGAAACACTATTACTGCCTTTTTTAAAATAACAATTTAAGTAATATGAAAAAAACATGGCAAGGCATAAATGAATTATTAATTCGCTCCAAAAGAAAGTGTAAATCTGTTGGTAAACTAAAAGACCCAGATAACAACAATAACCTTACTAATGATTCCTCGCGTATACCTAATATCTTGAATAAACATTTTTCAAATGTTAGCAACATCTTAGCAAGCAAACTACCACCAGCAGAGCGCCCCTTCACAGAGTATCTAAGAAACTCCAGTTTGTCAGAACTTTCGTTTTTCTTCAGATCTGTAACTCCATCCGAAATTCAATTTCAAATTTTATCTATACCAAACAGCAAATCGCATGGCTTATACTCCTGTCCTACTCAACGTCTTAAATACTAAAGCGAAGTCATATCTCCAGTTCTTTCAGATATTCTCAAT